CATACATACATACATACATACATACATGCCAGTGGTGGGTTCGGCATCCCGTTCCAACCGGTACGGTTGGAATGGGCCTGGTATTGTTGTAGCAGATTGTGGTTTGTAATCTACTTACGAAAGATCAGGACTTGAGACCACGAAGGAAGAGAAACAGGTTTATTGGATGCAACGAGTTCAGCGTGTTCACACACCAACATCTGAACTGACCTGAGCTCTGCCCAGGATCCTACTTTTATGCCGTGTTCCATAAGGTCCATTCTATTAAGACCACCTAACCTGGCCAGCCACTGGTGGGTTTACCTGTGCAACCCATGCTGTATCAGTATCGTCCACATGGACGCGTGCAGCGCACACGTGTGCATAGCGTGTGCATGCTGCTTACTGTCTCCGTGACGCTCCAGCTGCTCAGCGGAGCGTCACGCATGAGCTGTATGCGCCGTGCGTGGAAGCACGAAAGACTTAAAAGACTGGTAAGGAGCTCAGGCAGGCGGGCCCTCTGGAGCACCATACCGGAATGGTATCCGGTGCTCTGGGCAGGCTCCAGTACGCCCGTACCAGGGCGTACCGCCTGCAACCCACCACTGATGCATGCACATATTATTGTTCTGTATTTTGTGTTCTGAAATGGCCTTATGGCTAAACAATGAAATATTATTAACGGATTAATGTGCCAAAGATGGAGAGAGTGCTACTTTCCTCTTTTCAAAATATACTTTTTAGCAACCATTGACGGTTTCTGAATTCCCCCCAACCCATATGTAAAATAGTTTTCTAACTGTTAATAAATTAAATTAAATGTAACAACTTAAAAATATGCAACAAAACTTGTTGCTATTCAGCCTTGTGATGAATATCAAAATCAGTGATGGATATTCTTTTTTATATACTTATGGAACAAAGGTGATGCTGGAGTTCTATTGCATTTTACTCCAGGAGCATTTCCCCAATTTTAAAAACTGATCCTAACTTTTATGTGGCAAAGGTAGGGCGCTGTACTTTATTTTGATTACACCACTGTTTTTTTTCTTTGGGTTTTAAAAAAATGCATATATACAATCTATTATAGCTGCTATATAATGTGATTTTTATGATTGCTAAATTGAACTTTTAAGAAGTTTTTTTTAAAGTATGAATTTTATAAGCAAATTTTAACACTTAATACGTTTGCCTGTGGAACAACAGGATATTTCCCTATGGGTATATAAAAGTGATTCATTCTTAAAAATAAAATCAGACAATAAAACTCTGTAGAGATTCTCGGTCATTCAGGTCGTGGTTGTCCCAAAGGTGCTTTTTCAGGAGGCAAATTGACTTTCTCGTTTTTTTCTTTTGAAGACGTCTTCGGGATGTCTGAAGAAAGTCCAGTTGCCTCCTGAAAAAGCCCCTTTGGGGCAACCATGACCTGGATGGCGGAGAATCTCTACGGACCTTTAGTTATATAATTTGGGATGAACACCCTCTGAACGGTGTGGGAGTAGGAATGGATTTTCAGAAGAAAAATTGTAGACTGCAGGAACCAGAAGCACTACTCAGGTAACCCTGAGGACACAGATAAACCTCCAGGTGCTTCAGAGACCCTCTGAAAGGATGCAGATTACCAGCTGTCTGCAAGGAATATAAATCCTTCCGTTCCCCAGTATCCTGTCAGAGCTGAAGAAGCTTCTTGGATGAGAAGCAAAACTTCTTCAAAAGAAAAAAGAAGAAAGTCCAGTTGCCTCCTGAAAAAAAGCACCTTTGGGACAGACAATAAAAGCTGTGATTGAAATTAAATATCATGCTACTTACCAGAGCATACTATATAACACATCTATCAATGCTTCATTATCCATACATTCAATCTTATTTTCTGCCAAGATGCGAAGTACAAAAAACTGAGAATGACTTCTTATGTAAGCCATGGTTTCTGAGGACCAAGGTCTCTTCCTTTGCACCTGCACAAGTTTCTTAATTGCACTTTTCACGTGTTTTTCAGAGAGTCTGGCTCTGTTCTTGGAAACAAGATTGAACACTTGGTGTTCATTTGTAAAGTTATTGAGTTGATTCAACAAAGTGTCGCTGCTCCAAGTTCGACAGTTAAAACATCTTGTTGCAATTGGAGAAAAACGTCTTAGGCTAAGCATATTTGTCATTTGGATGGGTTTCTTCTTCCAAGGGCACTCAGGACTTCTTTCTTCATTTCTGACTGCCACAAGCACACATTAGGGAAAAAAAAGAAATGTTATTTGCAGATATAACACTTTTTATTTCCTTTACTATATAATATGAAATGACTGTAGGAAGAATAAAAATGTAAAATTATTTGTCTGCCAAGATATACTGTTTCCCTGAAAATAAGACCTCCCCAGATAATAAGCCCAATCAGGCTTTGGAGTGCATGTGCTAAAATAAGTCCTCCCAAAAAAATAAGCCCTCCCAAAAAATATTGCAACACAGCAGCAGCCATGAGGTCACCACGCTCTCCACTCCTGTACCTCAAAAATAATATCTCCCAGTAAATAAGGCCAGGTGCTTATTTTGGGGGGCGGTGGCAAAAGAAAATAAGACCCTGTCTTATTTTGGGGAAAACACAGTATTTCTTATTAATAAGCCCCACAATGCTTTAATTAAATACAAGATACTCTTATTCAGACTATCTATAAAAACTATAGTAAGAAACCATTTTGTTTTCCTCCTATTCTTATGCTTATTCTGGCATAGCAGTGAGGAGGAATTGAGTGAGTTTAGCATAATTTGGAAATTGACTCTAATTTGTCATGAACTCTAACCACGGATAACCATACAATTATGTTCCTATGTCCCTGTCATCTCATTCTAGGTATTCCAAATGGAGGCATATGATGTATTCTATTTTCCTCCATCAATTGACACAGCCCTTCCTATTAGGTAGAACTAAGTCTGGGTTTTTCATTATTATCATTATTGATTCAACATATGGGGTGCTGCATCAGTCAGGCTTCCACAACTTACAAAATAATGTTCAAGAAGATGCCCAGGTTTTTAAAAAAGTAGTACAATTAAAAAACATCCACCATAAGGAAAAGATATATGAAATTAATTCAGAACTGTGGTAAAACTGAAAATACAACACAACTCATCACAAAACCAAATATCCAGAACGATAATGCAAAATGGACTTGAAAACATGGAATTTAAAAAGCCAAAGTAAAAAAAAAAGAATACTCAAGGTAATAATTTTACTTTGAGGATTTGGGTGAAAGTTAATCGTTTGCTTAATTAATGTCATCCTCTTTGCCTTTCTACCATTATTACAACATTTTGCCTAGCCTGAGGAAAAACAGGTATCGGCTAGCTCCCAGGAAGAAACGGAAGCATCAATGAGAAAGCTTTAAGAGCAGGTTTCCATGACAGGTGGAACCTATTGGGGTGAGAACTATTAATGAAATACTAATCTGGTTGTTCACTCCAGTCAAGCCAGCAAATCTAGGGCAATCCTGTTGTAAGACTCTTCTCATCTTATACAACATCCCAGTCAACTTTTCTGCTTCATCCAGTTTTTAAAGAAATGAAGTATTTGTGATACTTAAATGAGGGTGGAGTAGGGGGACTCCCTATACCTTTGCTTGCCATTCCACATCCCTCATTTTTGTGTGAGGATTGAAAACAAGTGGCATCATTAGATCAGCCCTGTTTTCCCATCTTCTTCAACCTCTCATGTTTAACTCCAAAATTTTTGTGTGGATCCAAATTACCAAAATGATGGCAACTTCTAAGAAGCAGCCATGTGGCCCAGGGATGCATGGCCTGACTCTTTCCCTAACATGAGATCCGGAGTTGTTCAAAAGGTAAGTGTGTGATAGGTGACAGGCATGCGGGGAATAGGCACAAGGCCTGTGGGGTCTCCATAGAGCAGGATGGGAGCCAGGGGGGTGCTGCAGTATTCCTGTGGTCAGTTTTAAGAGTGAATGACCACAGGTTAAACAGCAGCAGCTGTAACTGCAAAATGAAGTTGTAAGTAGCTTTGGGGGAAACCTGTCATAAATTTGAGTTCCCATTATATCTCAAGGACTACCTGTACCCTGATTCGTTTTAGCTACAGCTGAATGCAAGGTTGATTTGAAAGGTATGCCAAATTCAAAAGTAACACAACTTTCCATGTTGTGCAAATGGTGCTTATATTCAGAAATGTGCGTTTAAATCAGATTTTCTTGGCTGAAGTGAACTCCAAGAGATCATTACCAAAGAAGATAATCTTTACTGCAGGATGGATGAAGAGCAGATTCCTTCACAATTACGGAACAATATTTTTGTTTTCTGAGATGAATAAAATAAGTATGGCTACTTTAAAGAACTGCAGATGGCTGCTATGGCTGCAAATTCAAAATGAAGCATAACTCTGGTATATAAGAGCAGGAGACAGTTGTCATAATTAAGAAAATCAAGAGAAAAATATTAGTTTGGTCATTTCCTTGATTTAAAGCAGATGTTTCCAATGTACTGCCTGCCTGTGGTGGCACAAGATCATAAACTTTTAACTTTATACACACATATACTATTAATTGTACTTACATATAGACAATTCCTCTACCCTCAATGCAGCCCCTAGGCAAGCCAAAAGGTTGGACACACCTTACTTAAACCTTGAACCACCACAGCATCCAAATTAAAATACGAACATACATGATATTTCCCAAATGATGGCTGGGTGATTTTAGAATAAACTTATAAAACCTTAAGGAATTAATGGCTTATGCTTTTGTTAGTTATAAACCGAGGGTTAAAAGAGAATCAGATAAGAAACAGTTCATCAACAGTGAGCACATTCAATATTTTTGTAATAGCATTTATCATTTTCATATTACACCAATTATTGTAAAAATATGATATTTTAAAACATTTATTTTCATATTCAATAGCCTTCTTACTGCCAAGCTCCTCAAAGTTTCTTTGTGACACTCCCTAGTGTGTATTTTTTTTTTATTTTTTTTTAAACCGTTTATTTTCCAAATGTTTGGAAATTTTATTCTTCCAATAAGTACACAATCTGCAACTGTACCGAGTACCGTTGCACGAAGGCAACACAGCGCTTTTCCAAAAAGCTGGCATTTCAACAAGGAAGCATCCCATGAAAAAGACAAGACAGCATCTGAACCAAAATCTTTCCAGACAACTGCAACGTCTTTAACAAAGACATACGTATTTAAAGTAGGCATAAGAATTCCATCACCATCTTAAAGAAAAAGAAGAAGAATACAGCACTCTCTCTAATCTAAGCAGTTAAAAACCACCTTTGGCGATGGGAATTACGCAGAAGCGGGGATACGACCTTTTGACACGATGCACTGGACTTCTTCGCGTGTAACGAAGCACATTGCTTGAGATCTGGAAATCAATACCTAGCTGAACTCTGCACAAACCGCTGAAATTCTCCCCTCCGTGGGATGCAAGACACGGCAGCCCGCCTCTTCCTCCAGGAACAAATTAAACCCATGCGGTGTCCTCCGCGCGGCCATGCTGCCGGTTAGCAAGGTAGACGCCCCGCGAATGACCCCCCGCCGGCTCCTCCTCAAAGATCACGTGGTGCAAAAGCCATTCCTGGTTGTACGGAAAGCCTCTCACGGAACCCCACCTAGAGTACAAAAAGCGCCTTGAAAATCCCGGGCCCCGTATCCGGCCGTTTTCCAATAACGAACTTAATTGTACTTCCTCGGCTTCCGTAACTGTCTATTTCAATGCCCGCTCAAAAGAATCTCATCCTGTCCTCCATTTCCCGGCGTGCCTCGCCGGCCAAGCTCGCTGCCTTTCGGGAATTGTAGTCTTTAAACGGAGGGACGCTTGGATCTCGCAGGCGGGAATTCAGACGTTGGTGATGTAAAATAAATAAATAAAGGCCAATTTCTACTTCTGCCTGTGCCGTATCTTGATTATTGTATGAGCCTCCCGGGATCGTGAGTTGAGCGGGATAAAAGTTGAATAAATTTATTAGAAAATTTATATTGCCGCCTATTCGCACATGGCGACTCAAGGCGGCTTACAGGGATACAAAAACTATTATTTAAAATTATTAATAATTAGTTACTAAATTATTATTGTTATATCTATCATACAAAGTGATTTATCAAAAGGTTGGGAGATGTTATCAAATTTGGCATAGATAGAACTTAAGGTTCGCGTTCCGTATGACAACCTGAATTATTAACTCGTTATTGGAAAGTTACGTAGGACACACACCGGCGCGTGAAAGGGAGATGTGGGAAATAGTAGAAAGGGTGATCAAAATCAGTGACTATAATTGTCCATCCAAAAGGAGGGACCGTGAGCCTTTATTATGAATAACTGCTGTCAATGGTGTTGAAATATTGCTTCCAGGTCCTGTCCAGCCGAAAGCCTAGGTAGGACATCCTGTTCCAGTGTAGCTTAATCCGTCTAGAAATTGATATGTACAATACCGTTTTTCCTACTTTAACAAATCTAGTCAATATCAAATTATATTGATATTGTTTCTTGACTGCTTATTTGTACCCTATGATTTTGTACCCTATGATTTTAAGTGTTGTACCTTATGATTCTTGACGAATGTATCTTGTCTTTTTATGTACACTGAGAGCATATGCACCAAAGACAAATTCCTTGTATGCCCAATCACACTTGGCCAATAAAGAATTCTATTCTATTCTATTCTATTCTAT